TGTGTGTGTGTGTGTGTGTGTGTGTGTGTGTGTGTGTGTGTGTGTGTGTGTGTGTGTGTGTGAACATCAGTATTGGCATCCACACACCTTCGTGAGGTTGACAGAGCTATTCAGTAAACTTAATATAAATGAGTGCTGACCCAGCAGCAGTCACTCTGAACAAGCACAAGTGGTCTAAATTTGATTCAGTCAGTGAGGGGTGGAGTGACATGTGTCCTTTACAGTTGAGAAAACAACAAAGACACCATTACATCTTTATGCCCACAGGCCTGCTTGAAGAGAGACAATCATCGCCTGTAAAAGGAGGTGAATGGTGTTCTAAGTCACTGACAGTTTCATTTTGATAATATTGTGAAGTGCAATCAACATGACAAAGAAACAGGATGAAAATGATAAAAAAATATCATTGGAAAAACGTGCTTTCACTACATCACATTTGGTCCGATTTAGGCAATAGGCCTGAATACAAAATATTTGAGATTTTTTTTAACGTTTGACTCAAATACTAAAACTCTAACAAACAAAATGAGCTCATCTACCTGCTGAACTTCGCCTCCCTTCCAATGTCAGCAAAAAGACAAAGAGTTCAGAACAACAGAGTCTTTCTGCACTGGTAGTTATCTGCTTAAGTCGATCCCACTTTACTCTAAATGGAGCCAGCGGGTCCATCTCCTCAAGGGTAAAGAGACTCTGCAGCGGGCCGGGCTGCACAGGTCAGTGCGCTGGCACATACAACAAAAGAGTTTTCTGGTGCGGTCCAGACAGAGCTTTCAGAGGGAGCAGTAAGGCGTGAAGAACTTAGAGAGACTCCTTACGTTTATGCACACAGAACAAGCGCCTCGGGTGGTGATCAGTTCATTCACACCAACACAGACAGAGGAACGTCGGAATGTTGCTTTGTGTGTACATGTAAGCTGTCTGATTTCAGCTCGAGCTATTTTATATCTATTTATTATTGATCTTCTTTTCTTTTTTAATAGCAACTCAGCCAGTAACTATGCAGTTCAGGCCTTTAGCCTACATTCATCTCCTGCTGTGATCAAAGTCACCTCTTTTCACGTTAGCTCTCTCTGACTGCTTTTAAGATAAGTGAACTGTTGGAATGTGGCTGGACTTCTGATGTGTGTGTGTGTGTGTGTGTGTGTGTGTGTGTGTGTGTGTGTGTGTGTGTGTG